GCGCATGGGGGCAGGAGCTGCTCTTGGGGAAGGAGGGGCATGAAGGAGGAGGGAGCACGTGTCACTAATGGCCGCTCCCCCTGCCCACAGAACAGTAACAGCCATGCTCCCTAGAGGGGGCAGCCTGCCTCAGAGGGGTGTGGGTGTGGGGTCAAAGGACACAGGGCATAGGGGTGGGGGGGGTCAAAGGGTGTTAGGCACTGGGGAGCAATGGGATGGGTTGGGACTAGGTGGAAGGCAACACTTTATTTGAATATTTGTTATTTACATTATTAATATGCAAATAAAATGATGCCAGTTCACCAAAAGTTTGTGAATGGGTTTGCCGGTCCAGGATATAAAAAATGTTGGGAACCACTGGCTTAAGGGAACAGCTTTGATGCGCTCCACCTGGGAAGCGGGGAAGAATTATGTTTCCCCAACGCAGCAGGCCTGAAAACCAGGCCTGTGAGATTGCCCAACTCGAGCCTTATGCATTGCACGATGGCGAGACGGGGGACTGCAACTGATGGCCCACCAGCAGAGGCCACACCCACTGATGCATAATGGTCAGGTGACTAGAAGTAGAATGCTGATTGGACACCTCCAAGGATAAAGATTCCGGTTACTGTCCAATCCTTTTCTCAGCAACTTGTTGCTACGCTAGCTGCGGGCCACACCCCTGGGATCAAATTCCTGCCACCTGGCCTGTGTCCTGATCCTTATTCCCTTTACCCTCCTGTGTGATCTTACTGGATTTCAATAGGAACATGCAGATCATTGTTGCACCCCCTGTGGTGTGTCTGCCCCACATTCTGTGCCAAGTGGGCCACTTATTGCTTAAAAAGGGCATAGGACTCAGGGGCGGCCCGAGACGAGCTGCTGGCAACTGGCGCCCTAGGTGGAATGCGCGATCGGTGCCCCCCGCCTCCAAGATGAGCTGCCGGCAACTGGAGCTCTAGGCGGAATGTGCGATCAGCACCCCCCGCCTCCAAAGCCCTCAACGGCGGTGCATCATCATTGGGTGCCCCGTTTAACGTGGCACCCTAGGTGACTGCCGAGTCTGCCTATATGCATGGGCCACACCTGACAGGACTGCAAAAGGGCTTGATCATGTGACTGACTCCATTTTGGGAGGCGCCTGCACACAGGAGAACAATGGATCTCCTTCCACGTGGACAAGATCATGAAAGGGCTCCAGGGGTTCCTCCACTTTGTCCTCAGTCCTGCTCTTTACTACAGAAATATCTTTGCTATGGACAAAGGGCCCAGATGGATTTGTTGACCCATCCTAACAAAGGGTGTCCTCCAGAGACTGTGTGATTGGGGTGTGTAATGTGATCTCGTTAATTCTACTCTCAACCTTTTCTTTCTTTTTATTAATAAGCCTTCTGATTTTAGATTCTAAAGGATTGGCCCAGCGTGCTCTTTTCGGTAAGATCTGAGGCATACATTGGCCTGAGGCGTACAGTGGCTGGTCCTTTGGGACTGGGAGAACCTATCTGGATTCGGTGAGATTGGTTTTTATAACCTCTCATCTGTATAGAGTGGGGCTGGTTGTGGCACAGGTAAAGCTGAAGTGTCCAAGGGGATTGCTTGTGTGACTTCTTGCTGGCCAGATTGGCAGCTGAAGTGTTCTTAGTGGCAGCTTTGGTGCCTTATAGAGGAGGACCCCCAGTCTTGGGCTGTAAGTAGTTCTAAGCAATTCACCCCGATTTGACCCTCTCAGTGGTGTCCCCAGATATATGTTATCTGACACCAGTGTTCCCGATGCCTCTTGCCTGGTCCAAGGAGGGAGGAGGGTGCATGTCCCACAGGGACACATAAACCTCCCCCTGCAGCTAAGTCCCCACCGCTCACTCGCTGGGGCACAGGGCTCACCACAGACTTAGACAGGAAAGCAGGAGCTGTGCTGAGAACTCTCCAGCCTGTTCCAGACAGCGCCCCTGTGCTGTGACAGAGGAGGGTTACCTGAGCACACAACACCGGCATCTTCTCCATGGTGACAGTTATTGTTCCCCCACGGCCGAGCCCTGCAATCGGAGAGGGCAGCTTCGGAGCCGGTGCAGTTAACGTCGTCCAGCCAGATGGTGTCAGAACCTCTCTCAAACAGAGCTCCCCCAGGGGCTGCTACCGCCGTCCCGCAACCCAGCTGCCGGCACACGACTCCAACATCGCTTAAGTCCCAGTCGTCATCACACACGGTTCCCCACTGACGACTGTGAAATACCTCGACTCGCCCGGCGCAGCGATTGGGGCCGTTCACCAGCCGGAGAAGACCTGGGTCCGGAATGACCATGTCTGCAATTGCAATAAACACTCAAGGAAATTCCTGTGCACCCAGTCACAAGTGATGCTGATGAATGAATCCCTACCACGGATGGGTGTGACTGGCCTCCTCACACAGCCACTGCATGCCCAGGGCTCAGTCCTCTCCACTGACATGCTGCCACTGGGGTGGGTCAGGGCACAGAAATACGGTTCAGGGCTAATTTTCTGTGGTGCAGATTGTCCCGCATGGCTGAATTAAGAGCCCAATTCTTGACAAAGAGGCCCTGGGTTTCTAGTCCCGTCGACGGAGGCATGTAGATTAGCCAGATCGGCAGAGGGAAATGAAGCCGCAATTAAAATAATCGCAGCTTCATTTAAATTTAAATGGCTGCCCCGCTCTGCCGATCAGCTGTTTGTCGGCAGATCGGGGCAGTCTGGACGCGCCGTGCCGACAAAGAAGCCTTTCTTGATCGGCACAGGTATGCCTCCGTCGACGGAGGCATGTAGTTTAGACACACCCCAGGAGTGGCTGCAAGCTCTGTTTGACACCAAGTCCCACAGCTGGGATCCATGTGCCTCATTAGGCCTGGGAGGGATAGGTGGATCAGAACAGGGGAGGGCCTCTCACTGTGCCCCACATAGCCCTCCTCAGCTCATACCCCCTCGCTCTGTTGTGGGGAATACAGTGCCACTGTCTGTGGGGCGAGCCCCTCCGGCTGAGCCCCACACTCTGCAGCAGAGACCTTTTATCAGGTAGCGGCAGGCTGGGGTCAGAGTGCCCCCTACTGTGTTCCCCATCTCCTCAGTGCTGCGCTGGGGCCAGAGTCTCACAGTCTCCATAGGTGGTTCTGGGCAGCTGCCCCAGACCCTCTGCTTTAGGAGTCCCCACGACAGTGGCCTCAACTGTCCTATGGATGGAAGGGACCAGGCAGATTATGGGGGGGCCTTGTGCAGGGTGGTAGCAGGAGTCATCCCCCCCTCCTGCACTCACTTTGGTGGTGGGAGCTGAAGCAGCCTGGCAGCCTGCCAGGCTCAGTCCTGCCACCCTCTCCAGGCCCACTCTGCCCTGCTTCTCGACAGCAGCAGGAAGTGGAGTGCCCTGGGGCTGGCAAGTGCTGCTTTCTGACAGCGTGGTGAATGCAGAGGAGGGATGACCCCTGCTGCCACCCCATGCCAGGCCCCATAACCTCCTGGCTTGCATTGCTTTGGGGAAGAAGAAAGGATCCCAGCAGGGCTTGGGAATGGGCAGAGCAGGAGCAGGGCTTGGGAGAAGGGATGGAGAGGGGTCAGGGATGGAGCAGAGGCAGGGGCGGGGCCTGTGATGGGTGTGAGTGGGTGTGGGTGTTACCACAGACCCCGCACTCCCCTAGAGACAGCCCTGGCTAGAGCACAGGAACTCAGACAGAAAGCCAGACATCCACTCCCTGCAGCACCCGCCGTGAGATGGGAGACAGGGCTCACCTGAGCACTCCACACCGGCATCTTCCACGTGGTTACAGTTGTGCTCTCCCCAAGGCTTAGCCCTGCATTCGGAGAGGGCAGCTTCCGTCCCGGTGCAGTTGACTTCGTCCAGCCAGATACGGCCAGTTCCATGTCCAAAGCGAGACCCGTGTGGGGCTGCTACCGCCGTCCCGCAGCCCAGCTGCCTACACACGACTCCGGCCTCGGTTAAATTCCAGCCGTCATCACACACGGTTCCCCACTGCTGGTCGTGCAGCACCTCGACTCTCCCAGCGCAGGGACTCGGGCCGTTCACCAGCCGGATCGGAGCTAGTTCTGACATGCCTGAGTCTGCAAACACCCCAAAGGAAAATACTCAGGGACGTTCTTTTCATAGAATCATAGAACTGGAAGAGACCTCAGAAGGTCATCAAGTCCAGCCCCCTGCTGGACCAATTCCACTAAATCAACCCGGCCAGGGCTTTGTCAAGCTCAGACTTAAACACCTGTAGGGATGGAGACTCCACTACTTCCCTAGGGAACCCAGCCCAGTGCTTCACCACCTCCTAGTGAAATAGTTTTTCCTAATATCCAACCTGGACCTCTCCCACCACAACTTGAGACCATTGCTCCTTGTTCTGCCATCTGTCACTACTGAGA